CAGACTGAGAAGAGAAAACTGACACATTTGCACCAATTTTCATGTAAATCTAACCTCCTGATAGTATGATGTAGTTAGTGATGCAGCACTCATGTAGAGTCGGCACTAAAAATATTAGCATAAGTGATCGGCGGCCGGAAGTATGAAATCGCCAAACTCGGCGCTGCGTTATAGCGAATACATCACTGGGGGTCGCGCCGTTCTCACCTTTCAATCTAGGGGGTGCTTCGGCAGAGACGTATCTTTTTCAAATATTTTTTCCTTTACTACGACGGTACCGCGAGCAATAACATTTGGCACTTCAGCGTCACAAGAGCCCCTAAAGGCGATAAAGCAATGAACAGAAAATATACTGACGCCATCAACCACAAAGCAAAAAGTCACTCCATGTGCAGGGTCATGGCTGACAGGAGAAAGCCCGAGACATAGCAGCGGTATTCCGAAAGCGTGCTTTGGAAATGGCTGCTCCCTGCCAACCTTCATTGGGCTAAAACTATGGCACCGCCAGACAATGTAGACTCCACTGTGATAGCGTGACTGTAGCGCCATGTTCCGCCTCTATGCCCCCCTTGTCAATCGCTCGTTGGGGATAATCATATTTAGCACAGACTGTACTTGCCAGTTCCGCGAGTGGCGATGGAAAATGATTCACTCATCTCCTCTGCCATTTTGTTTTTATGGTGTACCAAAATGCTTATTCCAGTAGATATTACGGTGAACCCAAATCCACAGCAATGTACCGTGAGATGCACACATGCCGGTGTTTTTTGTAGTGGAAGTGCTCTCTAGTTTTAATAATAACAGCCTAATCGTCTGCCATCTCTAGTCATCTGCACAGGAGAGCGGAATCTGGTTGAGAACTTCATTTTTACATCAGTGTTTTACTGATGCTTTACTGTCTCTGTTTTATGTGATCTCCGGTAGTCCCAGACTCCAGATTACTTTCGATGGTTATAAGAACCGCCTTGACAATGCGCCATATTCAAAACACATTGATATCTCGCATACATCATTACAAATCTTCTACACTGATCGTGTGCTCAGCAAAATTGAGCATCCATTTTAAGGGCCACAACGATTCAGGGTGTAGTGTAGCCAAAGTGGACCAAAATCCTGCCGTGCGAAAAATATGGACGCTTGTATTCGTCAGATATAGTGAAGCATATAGTTCTAAAAAATAAGAATGTGTGATTTAGCAGGTTGTTTCGTTGTCTAGCTAGTTTTTATTTTGTGTGATTTCAAGTCTTCAAGCAAAGATTATGTCGTCCTTTTCTCCAAAACTGCATAAAACCCTGCGTCACCGTAGGTAATATATCTATGCATAACTGCATTCCCCAAAATATGCGACAAGTAAACATGAAGACACTCGAAGCCACGTACTCAGTTCGCCTAAATAAGATGTCATTTGCACTTAACCGTGCGAACACGGTCACAATTCGCGATCGATTCAGATCTATTCTACCTTTCACTCTCAAGAAGCACTGGCACAAGGAACGGCTCCCCCCCCCCCCCCCCCCAAAAAAAAAAAAAAAAAGGAAATCTGAACTGCAAAATTCAAACTTCTAGCTCAACACAACGCAGAAGAAGACACGTTGGACAATCAGAACGCGTGTCGGAGACACGGAGCAACACGATGTGAGCGCAACCCGTCCCACTGTAATTTGAATTTCAAATGGGCGTTCCGGGAATTTGTACTGATACGATTCATTCGCCCTCGCTACACCTGGTTCTGCGAGCCCGTCAAGCAATCGGCTCTGTCTTGGTTTTCTAGTAAGTCACAGAGACCGACTTTACATAACCCGATAGTCGGGGTGAGCTGTTCCGGTAATCTAGAGGAGTTTGAGGTTTTTATTTCTTCACAAGGGATCTTGACAGCCGGGCTGTGTTCTCCAAGCAACGACGGCTTCGAACTTCGATGCTGATTCAATCTGCCGAAGCAAGTCGTTTTGTGTGTGTGTGTGTGTGAAGTAGTTCCTAATGAAAATAAATACTATGATTAAGGTCTGGCGTTTGATAATAGTTCTCAAAGTAAACTGTAAGTGTGTTGTCCTTTTTGATGCAGATATTCAATGAATAAACATTCTTTGGCTACAGGTACATATAAAATTGTGTAAATTTCGTTAAACAGGGTCAAGAGTATAACGTCTCGTTATTTTTCTACATCAATGTTTTAAATACGTTTTTGTCGCTTAAATCTTCCTCTTCTAGCGCTGCGAAATACAAATAGCTGTACAGGCGCGTTGTATGAACAAACATATTGGACATACACACAGTTTCTAATTTACAACGCCAGCCATAAATTCCAATTATTTGTGAAACATTAGAAGATAATAGAAGGAAAGTATACCTTAGCATAAAGCAAAAGTAATTGTAGTTTTTTTAATGCGTTGGTTTTGCAACAAAACGCCTACTTCTGTTTCTGCACCCCTAAACCCCTGGTTTAGGGAACCCCTGGCAAAACCGTTTTTTTTTTTCACCACACTTTGTAGGTTTCGTGCCTCTGAACAATTGAAGAGAGGCTTTTCATTGCTCAATCATCAATGTAGAGTTACATTTTAATTATGATAATTGTCATAACAAAGGAAGTCAATTATAATAGCCGAGTAAACTAATATCCTAGTGCCATGCGCAAAATTAGCATTCCTCACGGGTAAATACTAAATTTACTTACGTAAAGGGCGTTACCCCCAAAACAATTTACAGGTTGTTTGTTTAGTTGTTTTTTTTTTGCGCAAAAACAAACTTTGCGTCACCAAACGCTCATGCTCCACCTAAAAGTGGCGCTAAGGGTCCGAACCAGACGTCAAAGTTTCAGCGGCAACCGTTATTTTATTCAAAAGTAATATGCGATTTTCTGAAATTTTCAATGGGAAAATATCTGCTGATGGACCTCTTATAAATTGTTACATCACGCGGAGCTTTATGGCGCCAGTTACCGACAACGGGCGAAAATTGCCCCAGTTTTCTATTGAAAATTACTGAAAATGACATAACTTTTGCGCGAGATAGCGGTTAATGCTGAAATTTTGGAACTTGGTTCGGACATCTAGCGCTACACTTCGGCGAAGAATGGGCGTTAGGTGATGCATAGTTTCCTTTTGCGGTAAAATCAATAAACAATAAAATAGCGTCTCACTCGTGTCGAGGCACAAAACAAAAAGACATTTGTGTTGTACCAACTCTCTTATGATAAAGGAGTCTAGAACGGTTTTTTAGCTATAAAGGAGGTTTTATGTCTATCAATTAAAAAAACAACGGACTTTAAAACTATTTATACTCGAGCTTCAAAGTCGATTAAGGCATACCTTAACATCGTTTTATTATTGTCTCATTTCTCTAGATTGACCTTTTTTGTGTAGGCGGTCATAAAATGACGAACTTCTACAAGCGCATAAGTGATCGTTTTCTACAAATTCCGGTACTTCAAGTAATATCTGAATGCTGATAGAGCTTATATTTGTTTTCAGTCGTTTTACAGCCTACCTGTCATCTCGCCAGCAAGAAATATGCTCCCAAATAACACTCGAAATAAAAAATAAAAAAAAAATGGTGCACGTTTTTGAAGCACACCACAGGCGGGTTTGAGAGCAACACATTTAGGTCGGGTGATTCCGAGCAATGCGGTGACCCCCAAATTTATTGCCGCGTTATTTTCTCCTTCTGAGCACAAAAACAGTCCGTTTATCCCATTAGCCTACAACAGGATCCACCGCTTTACCTCCATCGTCCCCTAAACTACATCGGTCTCAACTCCACCGATCTAATGCTCGTTTCTCCGAGTCACACCCCATCAAGTCCTTCAGCGTCATCGATATCCGAGGCTACTGCAAAAAGTAGCCAGCTCATTCAGCGCCCTTGGTAGGACGATGTTTCTCTCTTGCTATAATCGAAGCACAAAAGACAACGTATTACCTTTTCCTAATTGTCCGCTCTTGGAGCTTAGTTACGCTGCGCCAGTTTGCGAAGTGGGGATTTATGTCCAAACGTGCGAAAGGAAGCCCGTTTCGTAAATCGTTTCGTCAAGGCAAGACAGAAGAGCGATCTGCCATGAAAGGGAAAGGGGGATCCACTTTCGCTTTGACTGTGGCCACGATGATCCGGGTTGTAGCGTTGTTCGTCGATGGGGTGGGGCGCCGTAAGTGGACCGGGCGAGGACTTTCTCAAGACCCCGCGGGAGGAGGAGCAATCCGTCCGAGCAAGTTACAGCGGTAGCCAGCCGCAGGAGCGACGAGCAGCTCTGCATTGTCCTCGATTTTGACATCAGCCAAAATTCAGGCCGTGGAAGGAGAAGGCTCTTTCTTTTTGCCCATTATATAAAAGCGAGTGGTGTTGTGCGGATCATAGAGATTCATATCGACTTCTCGATCGGTTGGTTACTTTGGTATTGGCGTCATGTTCTCTCCGGTGAGTGCCCAAGTTGATTAGAACTCGGATTAACTAATATGGCTGGTTACACAAACATTTTACTATTCTGTGAGGTCCCTTGAACTTTACAAACGCTTTACCTAAAAGAAAAAAAAATATTATTTTACCTAAAGTATCTTTGCCATTACTGCAGTCGGCGATCATAAAGTAAAACGTTCTATGAAGGCAATTTTTTTCATAACTTACTGCGTTGCTTATCGGAGACAACTAAAAGTGCTCACAATGAGAGAAACGTATTTTGTCGGATATATTAAACAACTCGACTTTCAGACAACTTTTACTATGACAGAATATAAACAGGCTGTCTGGCATAAGTGGTAACCGCATATACTCATATACAACATATCTAACTAAAGTCTTTCAATGCCCCGGCTAAGTCTGCTATTCGACTGTCACTATAATTTCCGAGTCATATCGCGCAGCGACAACAGACATGTCAGTGCAGAGGATATCTAGAAAACGACATTACGCGTATTGCATGTAACACTCACTTGCCCCTCCACAAGAGCAATCCGAAAAAAACTCGAGGACGTCGGGACTTTCTTTTATTTTGTTGGCAGCTCCTATTCCTGTGGATGCTGGCCGCTTCATTCGCGGGCGACGTGCCACCGGGTCTAGGGTTTGCCAGGGTTCAGGGAGGAGCGCCTTTCACCTACGGGACACGGCACGCCTTTCCCGGCGTTGCCTTCGCGGCTCCTCCACAAGTGGCGTCTGCCAGAATTCACGTCCCGGCGTCAGGCGTCGTCTACGGAGCTCCGAGGCCCACCCGAATCTATGGTGGCCCAGGTCCCATCGGACTTGGTCATTCTGGTCCCGGCGGTTTCGCCGGTCCTGTGCCAGCCGCTGTGGCGCCCCCGTACGCGGGTCTCCAAGTTGCTCCTGTAATCGGCGGACGCCCTGCAGTGGTGACGGGATTTGTGGCTCCGGCAGTGGCGAAGATAAACCCGGTGCCGGCGATCGTGAAGACTGTGGTTGCTGAGCCAGCATACGTGAGTGTTACTATTTTTTTAAGGTGTCAAGAGCCAATGGTGTAAACGCGATATTTTGTTTTTGTTTGGATGCCTGTAAAGGCGAACTGCGCACTGAAACAGAATATGTTGTTGAACAGGAAATTCACACCGCAAAAAATTCTCTTAATGAATTTAAATTTAACATTTACACCTGTCGATACTATAATCTCATGAGTCTAATCAAGCAGCGCCAAACGTGCATTGTTATGGTGCTTATCTTCATTATATGTCTGCCATCACTGACTAAACCAATCACTCAAAGAGAAAGCGCCGCGGTCTGGCGCCTTTTTATATGCGTAGATGACTTACTCGGTGATAGTAAAACCAGAAAGAAATCGAGCGCTGGTGACAACGCCTTGGGGGCAGTTTCTTTGGCTCCATCGAACAATAGCGTTGTCTACCGTCTCTGATATGAAGCAGTATATTGAATAGTGTCGTAATAGTGTAAGAAAAAATCTATATAACATTTTCTTTTTTTACTCGCGCTTATCGCAACATAGGTTAAGAGGAAACAACCTATACTCCTTAGAGCTCTTTATATTCCTCAGCTTACGCTCGGTAGATTAAAGAAACTAAAGTCGTTTGTGGTTTCTATGTATTGCTTCATATAAGCACATATAAACAACTGAATGTTTTGTTAAATATACTCTGGCAAACAGTATTAGCTTAACGCGCTTCATCCGCGTCCCTGTGACCATCTGTTTTTGGAACCACTTTAAAGGGGCCCTGCGATTATATTTAAGGGTCTACCGTTTTTGCGGTTTCAACATCTCTTGGGGTTCGGGCAAGCCAGCGGGCACGGAGAGAGTAACTAAATATCAGTGCGTAATATTCTAACCGGACGACGCGGAAACCTCCTGCACTTACGGGGGCGACCCGCGGTGCCGAAATGGCGCGATATGTGAAGTCTTTGACTCCTGGGTTTACTACTGGTCAGAAAAACTAAAAGCTTCTTTTTAGTTGGAATCCAAAATATAAGTGGCGCGAACCGTTTCAATTATTTAGGAAAGTGATTTCTGTTCAGTGTTTTAGATCAGAAAAGAAACAAATGCAGTTTATGAAGTACGGAAACAAAACAAAAAAAAGAAAAAAAAAAGAAAAAACGTCGACACCCAGGCCACGAAGCGGTGAAAAAAGCGACGCATAATAGGAAGGGGTAGTGGGATCAGGCTCCGACGAGCGGCGGGCGTAGAAAGGTCCCGGATGTACTCGGCAGCAGTGCGGTCGTATACGGGCTCCCGGATCCGACCGGCTCCGAGCGTCCCGGGCAGGTTCGGCTTGCCGTTTGGTCTTCTGGCGGTATGGCAGCGCGAGGTGGCTCCCGTTCTGAACTGATTACCCTGTGTTTGCTGTCGTTTGCGGCCAATGAATGTTCATGCCGAATTATTGTTTAATCGCGCATCAAATGTAATGCGAGCCGCCCTGGCTGCCCGCTTCATACAGTCTATCCAGAACTTGCTTTAGTGGCGCCCTTTCGAGCTGTGAACGCGGAGTGCGGCAGCCGTGAGCGCTTGCTGAGCTCACTACCCCTCCTTTAGTTCCCGGAAACTCAAGCTACTAAGAACGCCATGAAGGAAGTTATTTTTTCTTGTTTTTGTAATTTTCATATGCCTATAACTTTTAAAATAAAGCGAAATTCGAGAAAAGTAGTTTCATTAAGTTACTACGTTCAGTGCGCTCACGTTCGATGCATATTAAAAACCAGTAAGCAAGTCCTTGTAGGGCCCCTTTAGTGTGTACCGGAAGCTCAGAACAGTAAACCGTGAGTCAGCATGTAAACTTTTACAGGTAATCTTTTTTTAACCTTAATGAGCCTTCCATCCTAGTTTACGCTCTTAAAGCGATAAAGCAGTCATATTGTAAGCAACGTTCCTCGCGCAACGCAGTCTGATTTCCAAGTTTTTGATCGAGTTAAATTGTTTATATAACCATCTGATGCATCTAAGTTTACAATTCATATTTATGCGAGAGAAACTAAACGTCAAATTTTGGCAAGGCTTAAGGTCAGTCGTATTTGAGCCCATTTACTTCCGTTTCCTCAGGGTCCCCACCCATACAGCTTTGGATACGACAGCGTGGACGAGTTCGGGAACAAGCAGTACCGTCACGAAACCAGCGACGCTAACAACGCAAAAAAGGGCTCCTATGGCTACACCGACACCAACGGGATCTACCGCCAAGTGGACTATATTGCGGACGCCAACGGATTCCGCGCCACCGTCCGCACTAACGAGCCCGGCACCGCTCCATCTGCCCCAGCCGGTGTTCTCTTCGACGCCAAGCCAGTTGTTGTCAAGCCGGCAGCCGTGGTCAAGCCTCTAGAGGCAGCAGCCCCCGCCAGTATTCACACTGCACCGTCCCTTGTCGCCGGACCTACTTTGACAAGACTCAACGGGCCCCCAGCTGCGTTCAGCGGCCGGCTTGTGGCGAAGGTCGTGCCGCTCGGACGTGGACCCCTTCTCGCTGGACCTGTCGCACCTAGGGTACCCGCTTTCCTTGGTGGGCCCGGAAACATCGGTGGGTACGGTCCAGTGGGCGCTGTTCTAGGAGCACCGGTGGGACGTCTTCACGGGGGACCTGGGGGTTTCGCTGGATCGGTGGCTTCTAGGTTGCCGGCTGGACCTGCTGTGGTTGTTTCGGGACCTGGCCCTGCGTTCTCAGGTCACCACGTCCTCTCGGAACCGGCAGTCGTTGGTGCGGGACCTGTGCTCGCAAAAATTCATGGTGTTGGAAGCGGTCACCTGGGTCTGCACGCCAGTGGAGCTGGGGGCTATTTCGCGGGACCGCACTCTCATCATGTCGGGCCAGCTATCGTGAAAGCACGCTAAAGAAACCTTTCACACTTTAGGATTTAACTGTAACTCATATTTCGCAAGTTATTTATACACATTTGGGGTTAAATGTTTCCCTATAACTGAGCATGTGTTTCCCGTAGTAAGCTAAGCAGTGGCAGATATTTCCGCAAACTGAAGACTAAGTAAGACGTTTCATTTGTAATTTGAATTCCCAAAAATAGCGGGTTGGGTGTTCAGTAAATATTTTTATTGGAAAAGGCGTGAATTGACTTTCAAATTTCAAGGTGCTGATCGGTACTTAATCATTGTTTTCAGAACTTCAGTCGATGAATCGTCTCAGAACACATTGCGTAGTTACTAGCCACCATTTTGTTGTGTGTTGAATAATCTTGTCATTGTGAGCTCGTCATGTCTACAGCATTCTTGAAGGTCTTCACCGAGTGCTTTCTGGGTTTCAGTGGTATATATTTCCGACATCGCAGACCGACTGTCTCGTTTTTATATCTTCGTCATTGTTGTGATGTGATAGTAAAGTAAAATATTTATTTATGTTAATTGCTTTTGTACTTGTACACACGTCATTGTTATTTGTGTGAAAATAAAGCGATTTCTATTCCCCATGTGGCTGTATTTCGTTCAAAATAAATCTTCCCCCTATAAGGCACGCAGGCAAGGTATAAAATATATTAGTGGCGATATTTTTACGTTTTTGAAGGTCCTCAAAACTCTATCAGAATGAATGACAAACTGGCCATTATGTTCATGAGCCCTAAAGTAACAGCTGTCCTTCAACGCTCATTAAAACTATAAACATTTTATCCGAACATCGCCTGCTAAAAACCACGTCAGATTTAATTATCCACCAGGGTGAATACATACATATAAAGTATAATATTCTAAACACTCGCATATTACAAATATGTGTATATTACCTTCCACTTGGCACGTGCTGGATGTTAATTCTAGTTTCATTGCTGCGTAAATACCCAAAGTGATGAAAAGCGTTAAAAAGTTAAAAAAAAATATATGCATTTTATGTATTCATTGCGGCCATAAGTGAGTGGCACAATTTTTGATTTTTATAGAGTTTTCATATATCGCGACCTTCATGAGAGCACATTTAGAACCGCGAAGCCGCAACAATGTGCATACCATTAGTAAAGCAGTTAAATATGCTGTAGGCTCTAGGGCTGTTGAGGGGCACCGCAAAAGTAATAAATAAATAAATAAAGATAAATATCTTCATGAAGTTTGAGAACATATAATGTTCAACGAAACATTATATTTGAATATCCGGGCGCACTTAAATCCTCCACAGAGATGGGTGATTTTTTTGAAACAGCAAACCGAAGGTGAAGACTCTGTTGCTGACAGGTTGATTAACATTCGAAACACTCATAAAAAACGGTGCTCGCCTTCATAATAATTACGGATTTCGAAGATTACCAGGAAATGGTGTTTCAAATTCAGGAATATTAGGACGATATTGACGGCTACATAAATGCGAGTGGTCATTGTAACAAGTCACCAGGACCAATTAAAAAGCATGTTCCCAAAATGCTTACTATCAATTTTGTTTCGACATTATTAAGGCGTTCAGCTGGTTCGCATTGCAATCTTTAAAAACCTATATATGAGGGCATCCAACCTCGTTCGAGAACAAAACCTGTGGATGATGCTACCAATTGTTTACTATCTACAAAATTTTACTTAACAAGCTTAGAGCATAAGAGTTATTATAAACAAAAACATATATAATTGAACCTTTAAATTTTGAATAAACAATTCTTGTTTACATAAACAACAGGCTACGATACATAAAAAAAAAAAAAAAATATGGCGGTTTCGGAGCCCATTTTTCACACAGCGTTTTGATTTGAGAGCGCTTCTCGCTGCTGGCACGGGGACACGTGAGTTTTCGGTTGTTTTCGCAATACAAATTAGGCGGAAGGGGCGATCACGTAGATCGTCTGTGAGCGTCATCGTTTTGTTCCCGCCGCTCTGCCAGCTATTCTACTCGCCACGGGATAACACACGCATGCACCCCCTGTGCGTTAAAGGCGTACGCCATCAAATTGCAAACGTACTCTATAGTTTGAATTGCTCCCTCGCTTTAATTTACGCTATACTTTTTTTTACTTCAGAAGCGACCTCGAAGCCGCTACTCGATCCAATAGCACGATCCAAAAAACTCAGTCAACTTGAAAATATAAAAATAATAAAAAATAAAACTGGATGACACTTGCACGTTTTAAGGATATAAGAGGTACGGCAGCAACAAAAAAACAAAGTTCTTTGGCGTCGTCGTAAAAGAGGCCGACGCCTTTCATTTTTTTTTTTATAATATAGTTAAGTTTTAGATTTTCTACTGCGTGGTGTTGATGAGGAATTTGGATTAAGATATCGCCTCAGCGTAACATCAGTAAAGCTCCCAGTTTTAAGGCTCATATATTATTCAAGCGAGGTAGCGTCGTACAGCCCAGCACTCTAAACCTTTTTTCACCTTAAAACATTTTATTCAAGGCTGAAAACTGAAAAATGTTCCCTTTTACAACCGCCTAACTTCACTGGATGTCTCGCTCCACCCGATGTTATTTTAAAACTTCAAACTTTCTAGTGAATATTACAGGGCCGCTGTCAGAACGCCTATATTTATTTTACATTGTGATCTCCTCTTATCTTTATATACTTCAGAACGTGATAATTAAACTCTCCCCCAGTTTGAGATTTGTGCACAGTAACACTTCGTGTTTCGGTGCCTCCTTTGCGCCTGGGAGGTTATAGCGGAGGCGGTAAAGCACATGTGAAATGTTTATCGTAAATTTTAAGAAACAAAACAATCGACTGCTATAAGCCAATATTCTTAAATGCTTTAAGATTAACATGCAGCAGTTGGAACGTCCAATAATTTGGCTCAGAAAATATAATTCCTAACTTCAAGCATAGAAGTGTCCAAAATGCAAGCAAACAATACTCCCTTATACTTGAATGATAAAGGATTGTTTTATTTTGCGATAAACTGTTGTTAGTGGTTGAAGTGGAAGGCTCTCAGTTGCCGTCTTCTAGGAGCAAACTCGTCGTGGCTTTTCTCTTAGTAGTAGAAAGAGGAGTGAGCGATGCAGACTAAGCACATGCTCCAAACATATTGTTTTGTAACGTAAGAAAAGTTACGTCCCCGTCTACTTTTTTGCACAGGGGCCCTTTTAGACTCGCAGGCTTTGTTCGTAAGATACAGATAGGAAGGCTCTAGTCCAAATGCTCCAAAAAAAAACTAGCATGATATATATATATATATATTTAAGTAAACAAAAATAAAATGTTCCATAAATTTAGGCTCAAAAAGATTTTTAAAAAAAACATTTGTGAAGGGAGACCTATTTTTATACAATAATATAGAGTGCTTACCGGCTGTTTATGCAAGCAATTGTATCGACATTTTTTGTCGAACTCCATTGCGCAAAAGTTAACAACTTTCTATTTTACAGAGTAGTGAGAATATGTTTGTGTTTGATAAGTCCTTAAAAACAGGGTTTTTTATTTACTTTGATATTCGTTAGTTCAACGCTCAGTTTGCACGTGATTCGGCGTAGACAGCTGTGCTTACTTCTAATATTAAGCCTGTACGAATTTACTAATGTTGAGCGAGAATGGGACTAAGAAAAATGCAGTTGGCGGACACAATTATTGTGTATAGGCAAAAATCACTACACAAAATCACCTGAAGCTCAGATATATTTGTATCGTTTCTTGAGTTTAGATCTGGCAGAAAACCATGAATGAAATAAAAGAATAATTGGCTTGCTTATCAGTATGACCTTTGAAGCACTGACATGCGGGAGTGCTTGAATAACAAGTAAATAAATAAAAAATCTCAGTATTTGTATTGGCCGTTAATGAGTGCTAAAGAGGTACACTTTGTGCATCTTCTAACTAATTAGACCAGTAGAGTACAGAAACTAATAAAAACAAATACTACATCTTGTTTACGGTCATCCCCACTACTTAAGAAAACACTGAAATGAAAAAAAAAACATTTTTGGAGCATAGATGGGACAAATCTGTTTTGTAATTTGTCCACAAAAAAAAATTGCGCAGTATTTACGCCGTTAGAAGCAATATAGGTGGAGGTCACGGCCAGCTGTAGCGTCGCCCACAGATTAGTGGCCCGCCCATTTATACTGGCTTTGGCTTGGCTGCTCGGCCGAACACGCCAAGAAGCCTAGCGTCTCCATTTTGTGACATCTGGAGCTTCAAGTCTGGCATTTGACAACGCCTGCTAGTTGTGCGGGCAGAGGCAAGGAATTCTCTGGCATTGTTTGCAATTCTAACATACTCTATATTCTTCTGAAATGCCCGTAGGACGTGGGCATGAAAGCTGGTAGTCGGTATCCGTTTTGCCTTCGTCCGTCTGTTATTCTTCCCGGTCTAAAAACTTCCGCAACGATTGCAAAACGTGACCATGAAACCACCATTTTAGCGTTCCATCATGCACGAGCCGCGGTTCAATACAAGAGTCTGCCAGAGTCTGTGGATGTGTGATAATAAGATACTGAGACGACTAAAACTTAACAAAATAAATATGTAGTCCTTCCAGCTCTATACTGTTTTTGTTATTTCTTTCTAATGGCATCCGCCAGCGAATTGGGTAAACGTCATGACCCACAATTAAAACGCAACGTAAAAATATCTGCTGTTGTAGGGCAGGTGCACTCTAGAGCTTGAGAGGTACTTGCCCTTCGAAGCGAAATGACGGGAACACACCTCGACAAACTTCATGCGAACCGAACGCCCTATTGTCTCCAGCCAAATGGGTCGCAAATTTTTACCTGTGTATAGGTATCTTCTCAGTATAAAACCGTGGTTACAATCATAACAGTTGCACAATTGACAGACCACTGGTGACGTTTTTACGGGAACCAACATCTTTATTCAGCATCAGCACGCGCGAACGAACAAATCGAACCAGATCGATCAACGTAGTTGATGAGGGACGCAAGGCTTGGCACAGTCCAGATACGAAAACAAGCACCCGTCCAGCGCTTCTGAAGGCGCGTACTTGAGACAGTTTTTTGCTGCAAACT